GGGGGGGGGGAGGGAAGTTTTTTCGAGGACGGCACAAGCTAAGAGGCTGGAACTTCACGGAGATGTTCTTTGGCCGCATTTAATCCAAAGATTTCAAATTCAGCCTTCAAGCACCGTTAGGTCTCACGTACGCACACGTCAAAGTCTAAACTGGGACCATGCCAACTCCAATTCAGCCAACCAATTAATCTGCAGAGAACTGCGATTTTGCAGCGTTACTTGCGGCCTACTGTTGTGCCCATGAAAGTAAATTACTTATCAGCTGTTCTGCATCTCACGTACGAACACACGAATATTTCACGCATGCGCTTTTGTAACCTCAAAATTGAACCAGCCAGAGGACCTGGATTTTCTAAGCATAACCGACGGTGGCATTTGGCTAGATGCACGCAAAAACAACTTACACATTACTTTCACGTCTCGCGTACATTTCACGTGTCCACACGTGAAATTTGACGTAACCCCGCAACCAGGGTGGCTGGAGTGCTGAAACTTTCTGAGCGTTACCCAGGGCTGTGTTTGAGCAGTCGCGGGCGAAGAAAGCACTCACGTTGCCACTCACGTACAAACACGTGAAATTTGACGTAACTCCGCAACCAGAGCGGCTTGAGTGCTGAAAGTTTCTGAGCGCTGCCCAGGATCGTGCTTGAGTGACTGCAGGCAAAGAAATCATTCGCGTTGCCGCTCACGCATGAACGTGTGAAATTTGACGTAATTTCGCAACCGAAACATCCAGAGCGCTGAATTTTTTGGGCATGGATTGGGAATCATTTTAATAATTTCTAGCAGTCGTGGTGGCCAGTCCCAATTCTTTTAGCCAGAAGTATCTGCCGGGAAGAACATGCCACTAGCGAAAAAACCTGCCGGAAACTGTGTAAAAAACCCATCGTTGTATCGGCAGCCGGTACGCTTTAGACTAAGTTTTGAGATGACTTTTCGTCAGTTCTTCCTTTTATACCTTCTCTACACATTCACTGTGTTGACGTCTTTTAGCTTGTATTTATTCGATGTTCGAAATCTCACTAATCCTCGACGTGT